AATGATAGCTAATGCTTAGTAGTGAATGGGGAGCTAGTAGCTAAATGATAGCTAATGCTTAGTAGTGAATGGGGAGCTAGTAGCTAAATGATAGCTAATGCTTAGTAGTGAATGGGGAGCTAGTAGCTAAATGATAGCTAATGCTTAGTAGTGAATGGGGAGCTAGTAGCTAAATGATAGCTAATGCTTAGTAGTGAATGGGGAGCTAGTAGCTAAATGATAGCTAATGCTTAGTAGTGAATGGGGAGCTAGTAGCTGAATGAAAGCTAATATTTGGAAGAAGTGAATGAGCTGGTAGCTAAATTTAGCAAAATAGCTAAAACAACAGAACAGGAGCTAAAAGATAAAAGTAGCAACAAGTCTGCTAAAGGTATGTCCGCTCCTGCCAGAAGCAACAGAATAGTAGCTAAAAATGAAAGATGGTAGCTAGAGCTTGAAATAGCAGAATATTAGCTAAAAGAAAAAAAATGTAGGAACACACAAGCTGAAAGCTAAAATTTGAAAAGAGATGGCTGAAAGCAGCTAAACTGCGGTTAGGAGCTAAAAGTAGAGCCAGAAGCTGAAGCAGTTTAAACAGAAAAAAGATTTCAAAGGAACTGAAAGTATTTCATGTAATTTTATGGGAAATAATTATAAATAATAAATATCTCAAATAAAAAGGTAAAAACAATATAAAGCCTAGCGTTTTAGCAGCCATCTCTTGAACAAGCTGAAGGTAAATTTAGAGGCYCATCAGTTGATTGATTAATAATGGGATGAACTTAATGAATTTGTTTATTAATGTCTGGATGTTTTGGATTGTTTTTATTGTTAGTATTTAATTTTCTGATTGATTTTTTGTATCATATCAGCTCAGGAGATGAAGGTTTTTATGTTTTCAGGAGGTGGTTTCCCTCGTTCATCATGCACGTCCTCTAACTTCCTCAGTTTCATCTCTGCAGAGGGAGATAATGAAACGATCRATTTCTTCAGCTCAGTTTGGCTTTAATGATAGAAACCGTTCTAACGTGCAGCTTTTTATCGCTGCTCATCTTGTTTCTATCTGTGACTTTGTAAAGAGAGGCGATGCTGTCAGAGATGAAAGTGGTCCTGATGAGGGGAATATGATGGTCTGCCTCCTGATTGCTCTGAGCTGCAGGAGGAGAGGATCCGTCACCCATCAGACTCCTATCAGCTGCAAGCATCGCTGCTGTCTCCTTGATCCGTCCTCCTGGACCTTCTTCTCCACAACCCGCTGCTTTTATCTCCTCTCCGCTGCAACTTTAAAAAGAAAAAGCTGCTCTTCACATCTTCCTGCCTTTCAGCTTGACCACGCTCTTTGTAGTTGACCGAGGTGAGATGGACATAAAGGAGGATCAGACAGGAGAGAGGTCTTTGTGGAGTTTCTGATTCAAACCGATCCAGACTCAGAAAACCTGAAACTAAAGCAGGTGAAGGAAGTTCTGCTCTCCTGGTTTCACTATRAAAACATCAATAAAACATGTTTCAACTATAAGAGCAAATGTTTTGTTTAACTTCAGGACATGTTGAACACGTGCAGGAGCAGAAAGACGCTTTAATCACAGATTCTTTAACGYAGGAGGGTCCAGACCTGCTTCTGCTCCAACCCACCTGAACCACCTCTTCAGGTTCTGCAGACACCTGTTATCACTCACTCGTTCTGACCAGGTGTTGGAGCAGAGAAACATCTAAAACCTGCAGGACCAGGGTCCTCTGGGACCAGGATCAGACCCTCGACTGGTCCAGGTGACCCTTAAACCGGTGGGGGTTCTCTTACTTTATGTGGAGCCAAAGGTGCGTCTCAGAAACAAACCTCTGACGTTAGCGAAGAGTCTGAAAAGTGTCGAAAATCTTCATGAAGTTTCTCAATTATAAAATATTAAAAACGCTAAAAAATAAAGAAATAAACTTTYATGTTCTGAACAGTTGTTTGTTGGCTCTATTTACTTATCCAAGCTAACGCACAGAGCTATGGTTACTCTAATAGCTAATCCAAGCTAATGACTAGTTTGCAAACACAGCTAGTCCTWGCTAACATTTGGGCTAAGCTAACAGCTAACCTGCAGTAACAGGTAATCTGTGAGAATGGGTCTGACCTAACGTCCACTCCAAACCTATGCTTAGTTTGTGCTAACGGCTACTCCAAGCTAAGGGCCGAGGTTAGAATAGTTTTAGATTTTTTATTGTAGTTTAGTTTTATTTCATTGTGATTTTTTCTTTTAATTCAGTTAGTTTTAATTAGTTTTTACAGTGAATTTACTAGTTTTTATTAGTTATTATTACATTTTTAATGCTTAGTTTAGT